AAAAAGAGTTTGGCTCTTGTTGGTCAGGCTGGAGTGTAGTGCTTGCACTGCCTCCCTGGTTCAAGCAATTCTCCTGCCTCTCAGCCTCTCAAGTAGCTGGGATTCCAGGCATGCACTACCATGCCCAGCTGAGTTTTTGTATTTTTAGTAGAGAGGGTTTCACCATGTTGGTCAGGCTGATCTCGGATTCCTGACCGCTCAGGTGTTTGTCCACCTTGGCCTCCTAAAGTGCTAGGATTACAGGCATGAGCCACCTCACCCAGCAATGATTCTTTTCTAGAAGAACCAAATTTTGGATTCTTGCCTTGAGGCTTTTTTTGCACTCATTTCAGTTTTAGGTGTGACTAGGGAAGGGAGCAGGCGTCAGAAAGGATCTACAGCTCTAAGGCTGGCCTTTTTCTCCATTAGGTAGTTTTGCTGTCAGCTACAATGCCTTCAGATGTGCTTGAGGTGACCAAGAAGTTCATGAGGGACCCCATTCGGATTCTTGTCAAGAAGGAAGAGCTGACCTTGGAGGGTATCCGCCAATTCTACATCAATGTGGAACGAGAGGTGGGGCCCAGTGCAGGAGGCGGGCCTGGTAGTGAGTTGTTGGGTATAGCCCCTGACTGATTTTGTCCCCCCACCTCCAGGAATGGAAGCTGGACACACTGTGTGACTTATATGAAACTCTGACCATCACCCAGGCAGTCATCTTCATCAACACCCGAAGGAAGGTGGACTGGCTCACTGAGAAGATGCATGCTCGAGATTTCACTGTCTCTGCCATGCATGGAGATATGGACCAAAAGGAACGAGATGTGATCATGAGGGAGTTTCGATCTGGCTCTAGCAGAGTTTTGATTACCACAGACCTGCTGGCCAGAGGCATCAATGTGCAGCAGGTTTCTTTAGTCATCAACTATGACCTTCCCACCAACAGGGAAAACTATATCCACAGAATTGGTCGAGGTGGACGGTTTGGCCGTAAGGGTGTGGCTATTAACATGGTGACAGAAGAAGACAAATGGACTCTTTGAGACATAGAGACCTTCTACAACACCTCCATTGAGGAAATGCCCCTCAATGTTGCTGACCTCATCTGAGGGGCTGTCCTGCCACCTAGCCCCAGCCTGAGTTCAGTCTTGGGGGGCTGAGGAGTAGCAGGAGGGGGGAGGGAAGGGAGCCAAGGGATGGACATCTTGTCATTTTTTTTTCTTTGAATAAATGTCACTTTTTGAGGCAAAAGAAGGAACCGTGAACATTTTAGACACCCTTTTCTTTGGGGTAGGCTCTTGCCCCAGGCGCCGGCTCTTCTCCCAAAAAAACACTAATCCATTTCCCTAACCTAGTGACCTCCAGATCCCAGAGGCTCTCCTCACCTCAGCTGAGCTCCTTTGAAAGTGATTCAAGGGACTATGTCTCTCAGCCTCATTTGCTGGACCAAATCTGGAGGGAGAACCCTGAAAACCCCTCAGCAAGATTGCCCAGGGGATTGTCCCCAGGTGGGGGGAAGCAGGGGAGAGAAAATGGTAGCCATTTTTACATTGTTTTGTATAGTATTTATTGATTCAGGAAACAAACACAAAATTCTGAATAAAATGACTTGGAAACTGCCTGTTTGGGCTTCTCATTTCTTACCTCCCCTACCCCCTTCCACCTGCTATTGGGTGCATCTCCGCTCCCCGCTTTGCCAGCAGATAGTTACCTTTGGCTGTGTTGCTTTCTTATCACCATCTGAGAGTTGCCAAATGCTGAAGAGCATTGTTCTTAGCACTGAGAATGGTGATGACAGGAGTGCCACCCCTCTGTAAAGGGCTGGGCGTGGACATCACAAGCCCCTCATGTGCCTCAGTCAAAAGGAAGTAGTAGATGGGCCAGCCACAAGGTCAAGGAGAAAGGGGAGTGGAAACACTTCCCCACTGAGGGAGGGGCTGTTCCCTTAGACATCTGCCACAACCGCCAAGCAAGTTTTGCTGAGTTAGAGCAATGGGTCCCTGTAAGTCAACAGCCTCAGGGTTTTGTACCCACATGACACTGTTGACTTCACCCTGATTGCTCCCACTTAAGTAGGGGCCGGCAGTCCCCTAACAATTTTCAAAACTAATGACTAAGAGATGGGTGGCTGGAGCTGAGGTCCCTGAGTCAGGCTGTGGGTGGGATCATCTCCAGTACGGGAAGTGAGACTTCTCATTTCCTCCTTTCCAAGAGAGGGCTGAGCCAGTAGGGTTGAGCAACTGGTACTGACAGCCGAGCTGTACTCTGGGTGAGGCAGTTCAGCCATGAGGCTGGCTGTGCTTTTGTTGGGGGCCTTGCTGGGGCTACTGGCAGGTAAGGAGGAAGGCAGCTGAGGGGAGGGGGCCCCTGGGAGGGAGTTGGCCCCTGGGTTGCTAACCGTCTCCTCTGCCAAAAGCCCAGGGGACAGGGAATGACTGTCCTCACAAAAAATCGGCCACTCTGCTGCCGTCCTTCACGGTGACACCAACGGCTACAGAAAGCACTGGAACAACGAGCCACAGGACTACCAAGAGCCACAAAACTACCACTCACAGGACAACCACCATAGGCACCACCAGCCATGGACCCATAACTGCTACTCACAACCCCACCACCACCAGCCACGGAAACGTCACAGTTCATCCAACAAGCAACAGCACTGCCACTCACAGTCCTGCCACCACCAGTCATGGAAATGCCACGGTTCATCCGAGCAACAGCACTACCACCAGCCCAGGATTCACCAGTTCTGCCCATCCAGGACCACCTCCGCCCTCTCCGAGTCCTAGCCCAGCGTCCAGGGAGACCATTGGAGACTACATGTGGACTAATGGCTCACAGCCCTGTGTCCACCTCCAAGCCCAGATTCAGATTCGAGTCATGTACACAACCCAGGGTGGAGGACAGGTAAAGCAAAAACTGGGGGATGAGAGGTGAGGGAGGCAAGACTGGCTATGGGCTCAGAGGGAAGAAGGAAGGGGAATGGGACAGGGAAACTTGGGTGTCATTGCATGCAGTCTTATGACCTTCTGATCTTTAACTTCCACAGGCCTGGGGCATCTCTGTACTGAACCCCAATAAAACCAAAGCTGAGGGGAGCTGTGAGGATGCCCATCCCCACCTGCTTCTCTCATTCCCCTATGGACAGCTCAGCTTTGGATTCATGCAGGTATAGCCCATGACCTCAGTCTCATCCCTCACTGTCTCCCAGCACCCCACACCTCCCAATCCCACGCCCTACTCCTTCCTCTGTGGAGATGGATGCCACTTGGCCCTGCTGCCCTGCTGTCCTGTTCACCCCACAGGACCTCCAGCAGAGGGCTGTCTACCTGAGCTATATGGCAATGGAGTACAATGTGACCTTCCCCCAGGCAGCAGGTGAGTAACCTCCTTCCCTTTTTTTTTTTTTTTTTTTTTTTTTTTGAGACGGAGTTTCACTCTTGTTACCCAGGCTGGAGTGCAATGGCGCGATCTCGGCTCACCGCAACCTCCGCCTCCTGGGTTCAGGCAATTCTCCTGCCTCAGCCGCCTGAGTAGCTGGGATTACAGGCACGCACCACCATGCCCAGCTGATTTTTTTATATTTTTAGTAGATACGGGGTTTCACCATGTTGACCAGGCTGGTCTCGATCTCTTGACCTCGTGATCCACCCGCCTCGGCCTCCCAAAGTGCTGGGATTACAGGCTTGAGCCACCGCGCCCGGCTAACCTCCTTCCCTTTCCCATTGCTACCACTAGACGCCAGGGTTCCTGAAAGGACTAAGCTGGGGTCCAGGAGGTGGATAGGATCTGACCCCTCTCCTCACTCCTGCAGAGTGGACGTTCTCGGCTCAGAATGCATCCCTTCGAGATCTCCAAGCACCTCTGGGCCAGAGCTTCAGTTGCAGAAACTCGAGCATCGTTCTTTCACCAGCTGTTCACCTCGACCTGCTCTCCCTGAGGGTCCAGGCTGCTCAGCTGCCCCATACAGGGGTCTTTGGGCCAAGTAAGACCCACGACCTACTCCTTTCCTCCTAGAATCCTCCCACAGGCCCATAAGCCACTCGTGTCTCTTCTTAAACCCCCCTCCCCAATCCCCTTGCTGTCCCTGGCTTGCCATGTCTATGGGGCAGCTGTCCTCCCATCCTCTGCAATACTCTGCCAGTTTCCCCATTATCACTGCTCTGAGTCACCGCGGTGAGCTCCTCACCAATCTCTTACTCCCCAGCATCCCCCCATGCCCTCCTCCCACCTTGATGTCAACCACCACGTCACTGCAGTGGCTACCTGCCCTATCCTTCCGCCAGGTTTCTCCTGCCCCAGTGACCGGCCCATCTTGCTGCCTCTCATCATTGGCCTGATCCTTCTTGGCCTCCTCACCCTGGTGCTTATTGCCTTCTGCATCGCCCGGAGACGCCCATCTGCCTACCAGCCCCTCTGAGCATTTGCTCCAAACCCCAGGGTACTAGGGGGACTGGGATGAGGTGTGGTGGGGTACCCTCATTTCCTTGACATGCAACTGGCTCAAAGACAAAGTTATTTTACTTCCCTGTCTTTCTTGAAGAACAAAAATAGAGTTGGGTACAATAGCTCACGCCTATAATCCCAGCACTTTTGGAAGCTGAGGCATGTAATTCACTTGAGAAGTTTGAGACCATCCTGGCCAACATGGTGAAACCCCGTCTCTACTAAAATACAAAAAAGCTAGCCAGGCATGGTGGTGCGCGCTTGTAGTCCCAGCTACAGTGGAGGCTGAGGCAGGTGAATCGCTTGAAACCAGGAGGCAGAGGTTACAGTGAGCCAAGATCGTGCCACTGCACTCCAGCCAGCCTGGCGACAGAGTGAGACTCCGTCTCAAGAGGAGGAAAAAAAAAAGAACCAAAAATAGAGATAATTGAGTCGGGAGGAAGGAGGGAGTGAATTTTAGTAAACGTGACAAACTGCCCCCGCAGCAGGAGACCAGCAAAACTTATGCAAATCTTTGACTTGGGTTTTCCTTGTCCTGCCAGGATTAAAAGCCATGAGTTTCTTGTCACATGCCTTTCTGTGCCTTCCATGGTTGGGTCTCAGGGAATCGGAACTAGTTGCTGAGGGATGCAAATCTCATGGGTTCACCCCCCAAAGCCTGCACAGCTGGTGTTGGGTCTGCCGTGCCTCCCTTCCTTCCTCCTCCTGGGGCCACTGGCTGCTCCCGTTCCCCATCCCTGGCAAGCTGGTAGAGCCACCCATCCTCCCAGCCTTTTCCTGACCCGTACGGTTTTCAAATGCAGCAGACAGCCAAAACGATGTGGGGGAGGCTGTGTAATTTCATTTCCAAAGGCAGCACCAGTGGCTCCTGAGCAATAATATCCTATCCCGTCAACTGGGGTCAGGGCCTGCAGAAAAGCCCGATTAAACCCTCGCTCCACCTGGGATGCTCCTAGCCCACCTGCAAGGGGTTGAATCAAGGAGAAGCAGTGGGTACCCTGACCTCCACTGGGGGCTCCTGGAAACAGCATGCCCCCTACACAGGGCCACTCGCCAAGTCTAACTTCTCGACCCCAGTACTTGAGACGAGGGACAGCCAAGGTCCAGATTCTAGAAAGGGGCTCCCAGATGCCACAGCCTACACCACCAGTAAGTGCCAGTCCCACCCGTTATAGTAGGCTGTGGCACAATCGCTGGGAGCCAGGATAAGCAGCACCCCCCAGCCGCAGAAGTCCCAGGAGGGCTACCAGCCTCCAAGACCCAGAGACTGCCCCACAAGGGCAGCCTTCACCTGGCAAGGCCCCAGCAGTCCCACCTCTGCTTGCAGACATCCCGTGTGACCTTGCATTCTGTGGAGCAGGGGCCACCAAAGGGCTGCTCCACGGCGGGATGACGCACAGGTGGGCGCCCTGGGTTGGCGTCCCAGCGCTGCGTAACGAAGCACAATGCTCCCACCAGGCAGTCCAAGGTGCCCTTTCCCAAGCAGAACTGTAGGGCCCATTCGGCCTCGCGGAAGTCTCTGCCCAGCACGTGGAGCGCCCTGCGGGGAAGGGGAGAACTGAAGGGCTGCCACACCAGGCCTCGGCTTCCCAGAGACGGCCAGCTGTGCGACCCAAGGGGTGATTCAGGGGCTGCGCTTCCCCGGCGTGGGCTCGCCTCCCCCACCTCCTCCTCCGCTTCACTGTTGCAGGCCCGGCAGTTGCCGGCTCACCCACGCACCGAGGCCTGGGCGAATCCGAGGCGAGACACGCACGGGGTCCTACGTGCAACCCGGCGCCTGAGGAGGCCTGCCAGGTGCAGACGCTTCTGCTCCCGCCGGCGCACTTCCCTCTAGAGATGCCGAGAAAACGGGAGTTAGTAGCGCCCCCACTCAACGCCGCCTCGGAGACTCGAGCTCCTTCACTCTCAGCCTCGAACAATACAAAGTGTACTAGGACAAGACAAAATGGCGCCTAGCAGGAGGAGCGGAGAAAGGCAGGGGTGTAAATCTGGCTTCCAAACTGGAAGCGACAACAAAGACGTGGGAGGTTTAACTGCGCAGGCGTGCAGCTTCCGCAAGCTTTAGAATTCCACCGGGGGGCGCGTCCAAAACGTGGTCCCTGACTGAGACTTATTTTACGCCACTAGAGCGGTGATGGGTAGCGTCAGAAAAAGTAGGGAGCAACCGGCTGGCCAGCTTCGCCGCGGGAAAAGAACGAGGCGGAGTGTCCGCGGCGCGCACGCGCAACGAAAGTCAATGGCGGTCTGGAGAGACTGGCGGAAGCCAGCTTTGCAATATGGCGGCTGAGGCAGACGGAGCGCTTAAACGGCTGCTCGTGCCGATTCTTTTACCTGAGAAATGCTACGACCAACTTTTCGTTCAGTGGGACTTGCTTCACGGTGAGTTTTATTCAGCATCCGATCCAAGTCCTGCTCGAGTGACCCGTGGACCCTTCTTATTCCAAGGCTTGACCGGCGATTGACGGCAATTACTGCCGCCACGCCGAGCTGGACGGAAGTCACTTCCGAGAGGGGCGGAAGTGTCTCGGGCTCCTTAGAGGGAGGACGCCATATTTGTGCCAGTGGGGAAGTCCCCGGGTGGAATTCTTTGTGGAGTTTGTGATTTAGCGACAATGAAAGACGAAAAGACTCAACTTCTATAAACAAAAATCAAGTCAAATCGTGCCAACCTTTATTAGATCGCTAGCAGAATTAAACTGAATTCAAAGCCCCTGATGAATCGGGTCCCCTTCATTGCACCCACAAAGGCTCTACCATCCTGATTGCTTTCTTTCCAGCCTCCTCATAGTCTGATTTCGGAATAATTTGCCTTCCTTCCTTTGTATTTATTTATTTATTTTTTTTAGAGACAAGAATCTCACTCCGTTGCCCCGGCTGTAGTGCAGTGCCACGATCTAGGCTCACCACAAACCTCTTCCTCCCGGGTTCAGGCTATTCTCTTGCCTCAGCCTCCTCAGTGGCTGGGATTACAGGCATGCGCCACCATGCCCCGCTAATTTTGTATTTTTCATAGAGACGGGTTTTCTCCGTGTTGGTCACAGTGGTCTTGAACTCCCGACCTCAGGTGACTGCACCCCTCCGGCACTACAGGGGTGAGCCACCGCGCCCAGCCTTTCCTTCCATATTCTGATTGTGAGACAGCTTCGCAACAAGGCCCACCGTCAGACTATTTGGGAAGCGTCAGTATGCCCGTCAGTTCATACTACCTGTCTTAAGTTCGTGGGGCACTTTGTTTTAGCCGCATTTATGACCCGTGAGAGTCTGACTCCCACTGGACCAAGCTCCCTGAGGGGCAGGCTTCAAGGCTGGAGAAGTTACGGATGGCCAGGGCATAAAAGCTAGCCATAGAAGGGTAAGATTTAGTCACTGAGTAGGGGCCAGGGACAGAGACTTCAAGAAAGAGTCGTATGGGCCAGGTGGGGTGGCTAGTGCCTGTAATCCCAGCACTTTGGGAGCTGGAGGCGGGTTGATCACCTGAGGTCAGGAGTACCAGACCAGCCTGGCCAACATGGTGAAACCCTGTTTCTACTAAAAATACAAAACATTAGCTGGGCACGGTAGCGGGTGCCTGTAATCCCAGCTACGCAGGAGGCTGAGGCAGGAGAATCACTTGAACCCAGGAGCGGAGGTTGCAGTGAGTGGAGATCGCCATACCACTGCACTCCGGCCTGGGCAACAGAATGAGACGTCCTCTCAAAATTTAAAAAAAAGAGCCCTCCCTCTCCTGCCCTCGATCACTCCTTCACCCTCACAAAAAATAAATAAATGATAGGAAGACCTGTCTTTGGAGAAAGAAGACATGTGAAATGAATGGGCCACCCATGGACCCAGAGAAAATTCTCAAGACATTTCTCAG